TTGGGCAAATCTACCCCAAAACACGTTCTGTTGGACAAATTTACCCCAAAGCACGTCCCGTTGGGCACATCCACCCCAAAAGATGTCCTATTGGGCAAATCCACCCCCAAAGCCACCCCGTGGGCTCACCGCCCGCCGGAAGCGCGTACCTGGGACATGCCCTCCATGTCGAGCTGGACGAGCTCAGCCTGGTTGAACTGCAGCAGGGCCATCCCCACGCGGAAGACGATCTCCAGCCCCTGCGGGAAGACTCCACGCTTGACCCCCGCGCCGAGGTTCTGGGGTTTTTCTCCCCCAAACCAGGACCAGTTGGTTTTTCCAAGTGGAGAAGGGGGTTGCGGCCGCGGCGCCGTTACCTCGTACATGAAGATGTCGAAGACGCGCGTGGCCACGGGAAGAGGGAAGGTGGTGAGGAAGAGGGTGAGGAACCAGGACGAGGCGTACATGGAGGTGAGGAAGCTCTGCGAGCGGAAGTGGATGTTCAGCTCCGGCAGCTGCTCCTGGACGTGAGAGACGGGGGGAACGAAGAGAAAGGGGGAAGGGTGGATGTTTTTAGGGGGCCTTCAGGGCTGTTGAGGTTTGAACAGGTACACGAGGTCTTGGGGAGGTCCCTGAGAGGTCTCGTGGAAGGTCTCTTGGGCAGGGGGTGGCTCGTGGATGGTCCCCAGGGTCTCGTGGATGGTCCCCAGGGTCTCGTGGATGGTCCCCAGGGTCTCAGATGTCCCTCAGGGCATCTTGTAGATGGTCCCTGGGGTGTCTCATGGAGGTGCCCTTTGTGTGTCCCACAGATGGTCCCCAAGGTCTCACGGATGGTCCCTGGGGCATCTCATGGAGGTGCCCTGGGGTCTCATGGATGCCCTGAGGGTATCTCATGGACGTCCTTGGGGTCTCACTGATGTCCCCCTTGAGGGATCACGGATGCCCTCAGAGCAGAGACGCCCCCAGGACCTGTGCTGCTGGACACGACCTCCACCGGAGGAATCCCTTTCTCCCAAGAGCTGCCACCTCACTCCCGTCTCTCCCTGTCCCGTGTCCCCCCCTGGCTCTACCCGCTGGCTCCCACCACCCCGAGGCTCTCGTGGGGCGCGGGGTGGTGCCTACCTGCAGCATGTACTCGAACTGGTAGATGCAGAGCCCCAGCTCGGCCATGCTGGGTTTGAAGAGCTCCCGCAGGCGATACTCCTGCATCAGCCTCACGAACACGCAGAAGGCCTCTTCCTCAGGCATCTGCAGACCCAAAGGGACAGGAATTCCCCCCGCTAAAACCCTGCTGGCAGCTCCGGGTGGGGAAGCTCTTTCCATCAGGTGATGGGATGGGACGTGCCGGGAGCCGCCGCTGGGGGAAGGGGAATGTGAACGGGGGAATTGAAACCCACCAGGAGGGAGTGGGATGGCGGGAACGAGGCCGCTGCGGTCCTGAGGATCAAGAAAAAGGCTCCTATTCCCCCACCCCGTTCTAGCACGTCTCCGGAGGGCGTCAAACCCCCGTCGGGGCGGCTCCTCCTCGCCCCGGCGTCGCCACGAACCTGCATGAGCAGCAGTCCCACGATGAAGGCGCTGCCCTGGCAGTACCCGACCTCCCGGTCCACCAGCGAATAGGCCTGGAAGGAGGAAAACCAAAAAATCGAAAGAAATTTGTGTGCGAGCAGGGGGACGGGCCAGGCCACCGCCCTGCCTGCGGAGGGAGGCCGGCAGCGGAGCGAAGCCTTGACCACGGCATCAAAAATGGCTTTTCTCTTGGCCGACAACACCTCGGAGCACGAAGTCGCTGCGAACTTGAATTTCGACCCCAAAATACTCGTTTTGTAAGTCAGAGTAAAGCTCAACAGGAAGAAGGAGGTCTGGGACGGGCCGGGAACGAGGTCCCCTGGCGAGGAAAGGGCCGTCACGCTGGGAGAAGCGACGGTTCCAGGAGTTTGTGGTGGAAACCAACCCCATGAAAAATTCATACCCGCTTAAAAACAGCTTCCCAAACCCGAAGCGGCGCCTGGGCTGCGGCCAAGAGCTGCGGGAAGGCGTTACCTTCATGACGTTGAAGAGCACCTCCTGGCCCAGGCTGTCCTGGCCCTTGAAGAACTCGTGCTCCGGGTAGGTGCGGGCGATGTCCCGTCGGATGAGCTTCTCGCAGGGAGAGGACATCTTGAGCAGCTCCGAGTACTGGTTTTTGACGGGCATGTCGGTGGCACTGCAGAGCAGCTGCCAGACGATGGCGCGGAAGTGGTGGGGGATGCCTTTGCGGATGAGCTCCTGCGGAAAAACGGGGCAGAAAACCTGAGGAAACGGGTTTCAGGAAGACGAGGAAGCTCCTCGCGGGTGGGGAGACGTCGGGTTTTGCCGCGGGGGTTGAAACACCGTGAGAAACAAAGCAGCGTCCTCACCTTCAGCAGCTTCTCCTTCTTCTTCCGCCACTCGTCCCACTCGTTGACGATGCGGCCCCAGAGGATCCACGTGTCCTCCTCGAGGTGGCTGAGGTTGGAGGAGGCCGAGGAGCTGGAGACCAAGGAGGAGCCGCTGTTCCGGCGCGAGCCGTTCATGGAGCGCATCGACTTGGAGTCGGCCTCCAGTAGCCTGCGAGAGACGGAGGAAACCCTCAAAAAGAGCCCCAAAGGAGGAGAGAGCCCCCAAAACCGCCCGAAAGGAGGAGATATTCCCCCCCAACGGCCCCAAAGGGGGAGAGATTCCCGCAAAACCAGCCCAAAAAAGGAGGCGTTCCGCCCAAAACAGCCTCCAAGGAGGAGAGATTCCCCCAAAGGGGTCCCGAAAAAGGAGATGCTCCCCCCAAACCAGCCCCAAAGAAGGAGGGATTTCCCCAAAACTGGGCTAAAAGAGGAGAGATTGCCCTCAAACAGCAGATATTCCCCCAAAATGCCCCAAAGCAGGAGATATTTCCTGAAAACTGCCCCAAAGGAGGAGCGATTCCCCGAAAACTGCCCCAAGGGAGGAGATACTCCCCTAAAACCACTCCAAAAGAAGAGATATTTCCCCCCAAATGCCCCAAAGAACGCAATAATCCCTGAAAACCGCCCCAAAGGTGGAGATATTCCCCCAAAACCACTCCAAAAGAGGAGATATTCCCCCAAAACCACTCCAAAAGAGGAGATATTCCCCCAAAACCACCCCAAAGGAGGAGATATTCTCCCAAACAGCCACAAAGGAGAAGAGAGTCCCCCAAAACGGTCCCAAAAAGGAGAGATTCCCCCCAAAACCGGCAGATATCCCCCCCAAAACCACCCCAAAGGAGCAGATATTCCCCCAAAATGCCCCAAACCAGCACCCGGAGGGGTTAGCTGCCCCAGCCCGCTGCCAACAGCTGCCCAGGGATGGTCTCTTTAAATGAATTTGCTTAAAACCCAGCTTTCCCATGGGGTTTTTTCCCCAATAAATTTGCTTAAAAACAGCTTTGCAAGGAAATTGGCATTTCAGGGCTCGATTTTAACACGGGTTTCACGCCAGGGACGGAGCTTTTCGCCCGGTACTGCGGCGCGGTGAGCCTCGGGGCTCGCTTCCCACCCAGAGCAGCTTTAACCCCCCCCCAAGGGGTTGGTGTTTTTTTTTTCATTATTTCCAAAAATCCCCTTCGCCCGCCCGAACGAGCAAACCTGCTGCTTTCCAAGAGGGGAAAAAAAAAAAA